AATTCATAGTGCAATTTTTCTGAAATTATTTTTTCCATCCGTTTTAGATCAGAAGCAGTACATTTACATTGACTAATCCGGATTACATCATGAGTGGATGGAATGTTGCATTCTTCTTCAACTATTCTAGCAGCCAGCAAAAAACAACAGACTCCAATGCAAGAGAGATGTTTAGGTTTCACCTGGAAAACAAAGAACAAAAGCTTCTTCTAACAGCTGAAACTCTGATTCAGCAAAGCAGACATTTAAAGTCATGTTGTAATGATGCCCCTTAAGAAAAAACACAACTACATTAAGCTGTTTCCCTAAACTTACTATCACCCACAATTTAAATTATTTTTACATTTTAAACTGCCTTTAAAAAAAAAGAAAAAGCTCTTTTGAGCATTTAATTAAATAACTGCAGGTAAAAAACGTAGTGCAAGTTCAAAAGCCAGGTTTCTAACACAATTACATACTGCATTTTAAGCTTACAAAATTTGCAACAGTATACTCTCCCCCAAAATAAATTAAGCTTTTCAACACCAAAATAATATACTACTTCTTTGGACATAAAAATAATACAGTCTATCTTTTTATGTTCTTATTTACCTATCTTTAAGAATCATCCCATACACGTCAATGCAAATTTGCCCCAAAAAATATTCCATCAGTTGTACAGATTGGAGCATATATAAAAGCTGCCATGGACAGATGGCTGCCCTTTCCTTTTCAGTGCACTGAAAACTGACCCAGCAGCTGAGAGCAATCCTATTGGCGGAAGAATGCCTCATTTTTCTAACAGTTGCTGGTAATTGTTACTAAGACCATGGCTCCCCTGCTCTGAAAAGACTTCTCATGGGGAAGGCAGTAGGTCACCTTTAACACACTGCTGTATTTCCCTTTGTCATGTTTCAGTATGAAAAACACTTAGGCTCCAACAGAAACATGATGGAAAAAATATAAACACCTCATTTTGAAGGACTGCATACACATACAGAAAGAATACCTAAAAACAGTAGTCTTAGTTATGTCACATCCACAAAGAGAAGCTCTATTAACAGGTATAGCAAAACCTAACTTAAAATCGAACACAATTTTGTAGTCTCTTTATCGAAATGTTCACCTGATGACACATAATTACATTCATTTGTCAAATATTTATTGAATCCTTGTGTGCAAGGTATTGTGCAAGGCACCAGGCACAGAAAAATGAAGGTGTATTTATAAAGTTTGTTAAATACCTTCATAAGAGCCAAGAATCTGTCCAAAATATTGACAGCCAGGACAAAAGTTTCAGTGCAAGATCCAAAAAAGTTGGTTAAACTCCTTAAATCTTCTACTTTGGCATTTCTCAATCTTGAACACAAAGTGTTATCATTCTACAATAAAAACCAAGAGCCAAAGTTATGATTTTCTGAGAATTACATGGTAATACACACAATACAAAAAGGCAATTTTTCCCCCTTTATCTTCAGGAATATGGGGCAAAAGAGTAGTACCACTTAAGTAAAGCTATAGTTTTCCAAATACAAAATTTATATATGTTCGCGCTTTTAAAAAATTTGCATGAGTTTCAACAGCTGAATATACAGTGAACTGTTCCCACAATTCCAAGGGATTTTATAGCAAATATAATTCCCTTGTAATGGATGGAATGCTTTGGTTTCTTTTTTGTTTTTTATTCATTTAAGAGTTTACTATAAAGTTCTTTCATAGGCAGAAGGCATTTCCACAAATGAACTGCTGAACTCCGAGGGAGTCTCCCACCCAGAAGCTGCAGGCTGATGACGACACATTTGATGAAACACCTCCCCAGAGTTAGTACCGCTAACTCTTGCTAACTTGCTAAGAAACAAAGGCATGACCCTGTATATTAAGATTTGTTAGTCCTCCAGGAAGACCGATTTTGGTCTTAAGAAACTCTGCAGCCTTTAGTCCTGACTCAACTTAAAAAGTTATCGTCTCCAGCTCTATCAGCTGCTTAAGCAAGTTAACCTTTCCTGGTAACTTACCTCCGGGGTTGCCTCGATCACGCTTAGCCCTTTTTCTCGAGGTTGGAATTTCTGTTCCTGCTGTAGGTAGAGGTTTAGCAATCCGAAGAGCTGGACCCCTTCATGACCTGCCAAGTACTCTGCCCTCAAATTCTTCATCTGCAACAAAGATACTACACACAGTTACGAGTGTATCCTGGGGAGAGGGGGGAGGGGATAAGGGGGAGCAGAAAAGAGCCGATGACAATACCTCCAGCGAGAGGCGCCCCAGCACACCCCGGCGACGAGCGGGTGAGGGGTTCAGTCACGTCCTCCAGAACCCCAACGCAATTCTCGACCGCCAAGGAGGTGTGGCAGGAGGAGGGGCCGTAGGCACGTCCACCGGCCACGGCTGGGTCAGACCGGCCAGCCCCAGCCTCCGGCGGTTTCACAAACAGGAAACTGTCCCGGGGCGGCTGGGTCCGGACGGTCGGCCCCACCTGAAGCCATGGGGGAGGGGCCTCTGCTCCCGCGGAACGCACCGGGGGCAGCTACTGCAGCAGGTTCTGCGAGTGGGCGCTTTACACAATAGGGGGAAGGGGAGAAAAGTCTCGCGACTGAACAAAGAACAGGAGGGAGGAGACTCCCGAGCCCCGCCCCTCCAGGGAGCCCAGCTCCAGAAGCCCCTCTCCGGAGTCCAGCCCCCAAGCCTTCCCCATCCGCTACGGCAGCGCCAACTCCGGATACACCCGATGGACAGAGCCCCGGCCCACAGGAGCGGTGGGGCGGCGCTCCCCCCACTCCCCCCCCCCCCCCCCCCCCCC